TGTCAGAGCGGAAATGGGGAAAGTTATGATCTACAACTAGAGGATAAACTTGATCATGATTATCATGGGAGTTTTCCTTGACAACTTCTGTATGCTCCTCAACATCCTCATGATTGCCTTCTTCTTCCTCCAACTCTACTTGTATGGCAACATAAAGGTTGTCTTGAGAAAACTGTGAACAGGCTTTCTCAATGACCTCTATGTGCTTCTTTATGCTCCGAAGGGTATCCTCTGTTTCACGGGGAAAGGAGAAGTCAGTTTGGGCAATGGCCTGGATATGAGGATCCATCTCGGGAAAGGATCTCTCAGGTACTTGAGCAATCTGCTCCACAAGAAGCCTCAAGTGATAGTTTGGATCTGGCTGTGGAGTGTAGCATGGCTCTGCCGGATCGCCCGTGAAGGCTGTGGCGAACTCAAGATCAGATGGCCCTTCTTGTTGTGGGAGGAATTCTTCTTGATAAGGAGATTGTTCTTGAAATACACAGGGGTCTGATTGTTCTTCGTAGTAGGGGGTTGGTACTGAAACCCGACTCCATAGTTTTCTCCTCCTTGGTTACTCCAGGGATTCTCGGGGTAATACCACTCGGATGGTGGTGGATACCCCCAATGATTGGAGAAGCCATGAGGGTCCATGATTCAGATCTGCACCAACAAAAACAAAAAAAAACACCCAAGTGAAAAGCAAGGGCGGAAAACAAAAGAAAAACGCTAAAGTAACAAACTTATGCCTTTCCTAATCATCTAGAAAGTCCCCGGCAACGGTGCCAAAAACTTGACACGCTAAAACACAACACCTAACAATGGCCAAGTGTAACCAATGAAAGGGACTGCAGTATAGTGGCACAAGTAATAAATATCGAATCCACGGGTCTCTAGAGTTACTATTACTCAGCTTCAGTTCATTATCTAGCAAACTAGGTCCAAGTTGCAATTACCTTTGGTTGATCTCACTTAGGTATGATTCCCCCTAGCTCCTCAATTAGGTCCAAGTTGCAATTACCTTTGGTTGATCTACTGTTGATTAAACTGCGGAAGATCCGACAGTAGCTTGGAATCTCTTAAGCTGACCAAGCCCTCTCAGTCCAACTACCCGGCAGGCGACTAACCTTCACCGGGATAGAAAGATGAGGCTATGAACACAGAACTCCACTACCGGAGTTGGATTCCAGTACAAAGCAGTAGATTGACTAACTCTCGTATAACCAATTCACCACCATCAATCAAGGAAGCTCTCTTAACCTAATCAGATTCTATCTATCATAGGTTAAAGCAGAAATCAAGAGAATTTGATCAAGATTCAATTGACTAAATAAATCATGCCTTAATCGATTATAATCAAACAATATAGCATCCAAAACTTCATACAAGAAAGATCCTAACACATGGAACTAGGGTTCCTCAAAACCTAAGTGAAAGGAAGTTACTCCATAGAGAAGAGAGAGACTGCAGAAATCTGATCTAGATCTTCAATCTCCATCTCCAAGCTTGATTCCCGAGCTCCAATGGCGAAGAAATCCTCCAAAATAGCTCCAAGAATGTTCCCAAGTCGCTCTCTCTCTATAGGGTTCGTCCCTTGGGTGTTGGGGAACCAAAAACCCAGCACTCCCCTTTCATTTGGCTGAAAATCGAGTTTTAAACAGAAATTCCCGATCACGCGGCCAGGCCACACGGCCGTGTGGCTTTCCCAGCTGCCCGTATGAAGGCTCAGTGATTTCCACACGGCCACGACCCACACGGCCGTGTGGAATTCCAGGTTGCCCGTGTGGCTTGCTCAGCCTCTGTTTAATGCTTCGTTTCTCTCTCGTCCGGACTCCGAATCGGTCCCCATTTGATCCCAGACGCTTATAGTCTCGTCCTCTTACTTTTTCATGACAAGCTTGCATGATTATTTGTCCATAAAGTGAGGTAGAAATCCATTCTTCTTCAGGTCATGCCCCAGTTTCTTCTCCCGAATCGTCAATTGATCTCTGATTGATTTGAAACTTGCGCCTATGCTTCACTTTATGTGCTAGGACCTGAAATGTGACAAAGGAACACAACCTAGCATAAAATAGGACAAAGACGCAATAATTCAAGCTCAAACAATCAAGAAACAAAGAGGAAAACATGTGCAAATACCGAGTCATCACCTGCTTGGAGGTGGTTCCACCAATCCCGACTTTGAAGTATTTTGAATAATATATGAAAAAGAAGGGAACGTGAGTAACTTGAAGAAGAATGGTAGAAAATAGGGCTTTAGTCCTAGTTCTGGAGGTTTTATACACAATTCAAGTACCACATCGGTAATACAAGGGAAGGGGCTATTGTATATAAGTGTACACCAAGCTCATTAGTACGAGTTCTTTTGGAGAGGATACCCAAAAGTAAATCCATGAGGTCTAGACCCAAAGCAGACAATATAGTACTAATGGAGTTACTCGATTTCGACAAGTGGTATCATAGTACATCTGGTTTGGCGGATCAAGATAATCATTGAGGAGAGGACACGAAGTTTGCGATCCTTGTCTTCAGAGGAGGATTGTTATGGGACAATCCAAGTACAACATCGATAATACAAGGGACGAGACCCTTGTATATAAGTGCCCACCAAGCTGATAGATAAAAAATGTGATATGCATGTGGTTTGGCGGATTAAGATAATTGCTGAGGAGAGGACATGAAGTTCTTGGTCCTTGGCTTGAGGGAAGGATTGTTTTGGGACAATCCAAGTACCACATCGGTAATACAAGGTTAAGGACCCTTGTATATAAGTGGCCACCAAACTCATTAGTACGAGGCCTTTTGGGAAGGATACCCAAAACTAAAACTCTGCGGGTTTGGCTCAAAGTTGACAATATTGTACTAATGGGGTTTTCCTATTTCTAAAAGTGGTATCACATCATGGTTCAAAGGATTCGGTGCGGTTGGATGTCAGTTTGGTGGACCCTCATTCTGGGACCTCAGGGTTTGAGATTTGCATCTATTTGGCAGATCAAAAAGAGTTCTGCCACTGGGATGCGAATCAAAGATAATAACTAATGGGAAAATACAAAGTCCGTGGTCCTTTTCTTGAGGGGAGCATTGTTATAAGACAATCCAAATACCACATCGGTAATACAAGGGAAGGGACCCTTGTATATAAGTGTCCACCAAGCTCATTAGTACGAGGCCTTTTGTGAAGGATACCCAAAATTAAAACCGTGAGTGCTTGGTCCGAAGCGGACAATATCGTACTAATAGAGCTGCCCTATTTCAACAAGTGGTATCATAGCATGGTTAAGTTCGGGACGGTGGATGTCATTTTGGTGAGACCATCATTCGATGATCCATTGAGATCTGCGTCTATTTGGTGGATCCATGAGAGATCCACGTCTGTTTGGTTGATCTAGGAGAGATCCACGTCTGTTTAGCCAATCGAAAGAGGTATGCATCTATCTAGTAGATCAAAGGTGATCTACTTATGGTTTTGCGGACCAAGGAAGATTTGCGTATGTTTGGTTGATCTAGCAGAGATCCACGTCTATTTGAAGGATCAATGGTGGTCCGCATCTGTATGATAGATGAAAAGGTGATCTACATCTGGTTTGGCCAATCAACATAATCACTGAGGGAGGACACGAAGTACATGGTCCATGTCTTGAGGGGAGGACTGTTATGGGGCAATCTAAGTACCACATCGGTATACATGGGAAGATTCCTTTGTATATAAGTGTCCACCCGCTCATTAGTATGAGGCCTTTTGGAGAAGATACCCAAAAGTAAATCCATGAGGTCTAGATCGAAAGTAGACAATATCGTACTAGTGGTTTCATATCCCTTCTTATTTGAGTTGGAATATACGTGTTTAACTATGAGGATCTAAGTACGGATAATAGGTTATACAATTGATAGTGTTGATTTAAAATATGTTATTAAAGTATCAAGAGTTTTTGAACTAGACATACATGAATTAAAAAGGAAAAGCTATTTGGACTTGGAGAGAAATCTTATTATGTATCAATTTGGTCATAGGGCACATAATGAGTAGTGTTTTGGTCATCCCATCAACCCATAGTTAGTCTTATTAACTAACGAACCTACCAATTTGACCTAGGTGCTTCCTATGGACTAACCGAGTCAGAGGACGCACTTACTTCCCTTTGTCATTTTCCCATTTCAATTTACTTAGAAGGCATAGAGTGGCTCTTCGCCACTTAGCAGTACACGTGTAGTACTAGGCTTGTGAAGAGGCGAAGTTAATTATGCATAGTGAATGGAATTGAGGACAGGAGGATGGGTTAGCAACACCACCTTTCTCTTACACGTATGAAGCCATTCACCCTAAGCGAACTGTGGAGTCCCCACGTAGCTAACCTCATCCTTGGGGAAAGACTAAAATAAACCAAGTGGCTAAACCTAAAAATGAACAGTAGGATATGGGGTTTTCATAGAGAAAGAGGTGATCCCATTCTCACTCTGTCAGGAGACTAGAGGAAGGAAAAAGAGTTGAATCGTTCTTATCAGTTGAGGGCTATCATTAACAAACTCCTCTCACCAATTCCTCTTAGAGAGAATACTGCTGGATGAAGGATTTAATATGAGGAGGTCTATTAATCACACAAAGTAACAATGAGTAGGCCAGAGCTGCAGAGAAGGGCAAGGGTGTAGCAGAAGAGCACGTGTGTTGTAACAACGAGCAGGCCAGAGCTGTAGAGAAGGGCAAGGGTGTAGAAGAAGAGCACGTGTGTTGTGAGTAAATCCTAACCTATTAACAGTATTATTATGGTATTCTGGTCATTAAGCGACCCGAATATGATGCATAGGATTACAAAAAACGGGAATAAGGATGATTCAGATAATGTGATGAATAAATTGCTTACATGTTGTGATAGATAATATAATGACGATGTGAATTAATTGATATTTGATGGATCTGATGACTAATGCATGAATTAGAAGTGGTTAATGGTTATGTGATGATGTGCGGATGTGATATAATTCAGGATAACCTATAAAGGCGAATACGTGATATAGAATATCCTATAAAGACGATGGAATAACAAATGGAAGCCTAAGGGCGATGGTGGGATAATGTATAGCCTAAATGGCTACATGATGATACTATGAAGCCTTTAAGGTAAGAATGTGGAATGGGAAGCCGAAGGGCGATAATTTGTTCATATGAAATGGTGAATGTGACTATGTGAATACTATGATTACGTGAATGGATATGTGTTAAATGATTGATTATACAACTTGATACTTGTGATGTCACTAACTAAAAAATGGTATGATCACCTAAATTAAACTTAAAGGCACCCGTTGTGTAGTCTATGAGATGAGTGTCCGACCAGCCCGACACTTGATGCCAAAAGCTGTGAAGTGATATGGGGTCTGACCGGTGAGGCACTTGATGCGAAATGTTGCAAAATGATATAGGGTCCGATCGGCCTGGCACTTGATGCCAAAAGCTGCACCATCTTAGGGTTTATAGTTTATAATTTAGATAATTAGGACCTAGGGTTCACTCATTAAGGGTTATAATATAAGGCCCAAAAATCCTGCTAATTTGAATGGTCACGTGGTAAGGTGGTTGTGAACCATAGGGAAGGGCGAACAGAGCCGAGGAAAACATGGGCCTAGAGATCGAGCGGGTGATCGGGCTGGTGATCAGCACGACACAGGGGAGCAACGAGAGAGACCATGTTGCACGCATTGCCATAGTCTTGGACATCAGCGGGATTCTTGTTATGAACTGGTTGGGTATCCTCCTGGGTATCTCACAAGAGATCGACAAGGGGACAGACCGCAACGGAGGCGTACTCGTGATACATGAGAGAGCTCTCAGCGCGAGCCCAAAGCTTCGCAAGTCGATGCAGATGCGAGTCTAGTCCCTGGCTTAACCGTTGCGCAGCTGGACTAGCTAAAACAATTTTTTGGCTATTCGGGAAAGGCAGCGGATGATCCTTCAACTCACATGGCATGTATGATCTCCTATGATTCCGAATGGTTACTAGATTCCGGTTGCAATGAGCATATTACCATGGATGAGTCGATGTTATCAAGTAAAGAACTACATGTTAATGGACAACTGGTTCGTATTCCTAACGGTGATAGTATTCCTGTTAAACATGTGGGTTCAGTTACTCTCCAGGAAGGTCTTACCCTAGGGAGAGTACTTCACGTACCTGAGTTTCGATGTAACCTCATCTCTATGAGTAGACTGCCGAAGGATAACCGTGTGGCTTTGATTTTTCTTGAAAATTTCTGCGTCATTCAGGACTTACTTTCCAAGAAGTTGATTGGGAAGGATGAGCTGCGAGATGGGCTGTACTACTTGCATTTGTTTGGAGCTGGACGAACGCAGGCTTGTGCGGCACAGCGACGATATTCAGTTTCAGAGGCCACATGGCATGCCCGTCTAGGGCATCCTTCTTTTGATAAACTCTCTTCATTTAGTTCGTTATTGAGCATGTCTTTCAGGAATAATAGTCCTTGTCACTCTTGTTCGAGGGCTAAGGAGACTAGAGAACCTTTTTCGTTGAGCACGATCAAAATGAAATCAAAGTTTGAACTTATCCACGTTAATATTTGGGGCGGATACAAGGTTGCATCCCTCAGCGGTGCTCATTATTTTCTAACGATAGTTGGTGATTATACTCGTACTATTTGGGTTTATCTGTTGAGATATAAATCTGATTTGGTAGGTCCTTGTTGCAATTCTGTCACATGGTTCGTACGCAGTTTGGATGTTCTGTTAAACGCATTCAAGCAGACAACGGACAAGAGTTCAACACGGATGATCTTCGAGATTATTATACGTGAGAAGGATTCTTCTCCAAACTTCCTGCACCGATACACCTCGGCAGAATGGTGTAGTAGAAAGGAAACATCGTCATATCCTTGAAACAGCACGTGCTTTGCGATTTCAAGCCAGTTTGCCAGTCAGATTTTTGGGGAGAATGTGTTCTGATAGCGATTTATCTTATCAATCGGCTCCCAACTAGCGCCACGAGCAAGAGTCCTCGTGAAATGCTTTTTGGCAAGACAACACCCTATCACCACCTTCGTGTTTTTTGGATGCCTAGTATATCACAAGGACACTCATGCTCACCTCGATAAGTTTTCAGAATGATGCAGAGACGAATATTTCTTGGGCTATGCTGCGACACAGAAGGGTTGTCGCATTTATGATTTATCGTCTCACCTTTAACTAACTTATCGTGATGTTCAATTCCACGAAAGTGTTTTTCCCATGCCGGAGGGAGTTTGACAGGAGCTCCATTGGATTCCCAGGCCGGCCGTTCATCCCAGCGGATGATGCGCCAGTTGACTCTTACATTCCTGGACCACTTTCGTTGACACCTGGCCCAACAGAGCCTCCGCCCACTCCTGGGCCATCCTCTAGCTTCGGATCAGGGCCCAACCATGAGCCCACATCCCCCGATCCGCAGCTGTCCTCACCCGAGAGTCACACCAGCAGTCCTGGCCCGGGTTGAGTGTCCCCAGGTTCTCCAACCAGCCCGGCCCAACCGAATTCACCTACTCCAATGGTTGTGCGCAAGAGTGACCGTGTCCGTTTTCGCCCAAAGCACTTGGAAAATTATATCACTTCTTTCTCTAATAACAATGGACAGGGAAGTTCCACTAATTTCGCTTGTTATCCTTTTGCTGCTTATGTTGATTACTTTGGTTTTAAGTGCACGTACCTTTCTTTCCTTTCAGCTCAAACTCGGCCCGACGAGCCTCGATTTTTCTATCAAGCAGTACGTGAAGCCTGCTGATGCGAGGCTATGACCCGCGAAGTAAATGCTATTGAAAAGAATGGTACCTGGACCCTTGTGTTTCTTCCCCCCTGGGAAGCGTACTATTGCTTGCAAATGGGTCTATAAGATCAAGTATTTTCCTGATGGAACAATTGAACGCTACAAAGCACGTCATGTAGCGAAGGGTTATACACAGATTGAAGGCATGGACTTCCATGATACGTTTGCACCAGTAGCTAAACTGGTAATAGTTCATTTTCTCATTGTAGCTGTAGTCAGTCGTGGTTGGCATCTTCATCAGTTAGATGTCAACAATGCTTTTCTTCGCAGGGATCTCGATGAAGAAGTTTACATGGAAGTGCCAAAGGGATTCCGTAAACTAGGTGATACACGGTTTGCCGCCTGTACAAATCAATCTATGGACTTCGACAGTCGTCTCGTAACTGGTACCAGAAATTCACTTCGACACTCTATGAATTCGGTTTTCGGGCTTCCCCTGCTAATGCTTCGCTTTTCATCTATAGCCGTGGTAGCACCTTTGTAACGGTGTTAATCTACGTCGATGATGTTATTTTGGTGGGCAACGATCTGTATTTCATTGAGCGAGTGAAGCGGTTCCTCGATGATCGATTCAGTATTAAAGATCTTGGTCCGCTTCGATATTTCCTAGGCATCTATTTAGCGCGCATTGCCATCGGTCTTGTTCTTAGCCAGCACAAGTACGTCTTGGACATTCTTGAGAATTCAGGGGTCCAGGGCTCTCGTCCCATCACTTTTCCCATTGAGCAAAACCATCACTTGACACGAGTGGACACCGATCCACTTCCCGATCCTTTGGTTTATTGACATCTTGTGGGTCGTCTTCTCTATCTGACGATTACGCGGCCAGACATCACTTATGCGGTGAATCTCTTGAGCCAGTTTGTTCATGCCCCGACTCAGCAGCATCTCGATGCAGTATTTAGAATACTGCGCTATCTGAAGTCTGCACCAAGTCAGGGCCTATTCTTTCCAAAAGACAATCCTCTATGTCCCAATGCTTACTATGATGCCGATTGGGGTGGTGTAAACTCACACGACGTTCGACTACTGGTTACTTCATTAGTCTTGGTGGTGTCCCCATTTCATGGCAAACCAAGAAACAGCAGGTTGTGGCCCGTTTTTCTGTCGAAGCTAAGTATCGTGCTATGGCCAGCATGGTCAGTGAACTGATTTGTCTTCGCAGGTTACTTCAAGAACTTTGTGTTCCTCAATCGGCTCCTACACCACTCCACTGCGATAATAAGATGCGCTTCATATCGCCAAAAATGCAGTCTCCCACGAACGCACAAAGCACGTAGAAATAGATTGCTACTTTGTTCGCGAGCGGGCGCAATCAGGTGATATTCTTCCCGTAAATGTTCCTGGTGATCTTCAACTCGCAGATATCCTAACCAAAAGACTCGGTGCTGATCGTTTTCATTTCCTACTCTCCAAGCTGAATGTTCGAGATCTTCACGTGTCACCTTGTGGGGGAGTATTTTGCCAGACATCACTTCGGCCCAAGCCGATTATAGCCCTCACTGCTCACGTCCGAGCGACGGTAGTACCAGAGGAGGATTCTAGTTCTCCTTCTCCTTTACGTACTTGTAAACCCACGTATTCCGTAGGTGATCTTGATGTATTAGGGCATATAACCCCATGTATGGCCTTCGACCAAGTATGAGCAATAAACACCAAATATTCTACAGTGGACGTAAGCCTCACTAACGTGAGGAAGAACCACTATAAATCAAGTGTCTCTCATAAATCTAATAGGGTAAACTACATTAACCTTGATAGGAGACAATGAATTGCCTAAGAAAACCCAGCTTTGCTAGCCTCTTTCAAAGAAAGGGATTTTCCTCTCTACCTAGGTTAGAATGGCAATTAGATTGATAGGCTTTCACACAACACAAACATTCATGAATCATACCTCTACATTCATATTCAACAAATCCACACACAAATCATTCAATCCATACAAACATTCACATAATTGTAGCTAGGATTTACAAACACCCAAGTGAAAGAAGGGACTACTCCATGCTAGGAGAAGGGAAAACACAAGAGAGAAGAAGGAAAACAACCAATGAGATGCTAGCCTTGCTCCTTGTGTTGAAGAGATCCTCCTTTGGGGGAGGAATTCCCAAATCCTTGCTTGAAGATGAAACCCTAGCTTCTCCTCTTTTTTTGTTCGTCATTTTCTCATCTAGAAATTTGAAGAAGAAGAAGAAGTTTCTCACACTAGGTCTCTCCCTTTTCTCCTTCAGCTCAACCTCCTTTTATACCCATATCGGGCTCAGATCACGGCCCCAGTTCACATATGTGAACTGAAAGCATGGACCGTGATCTCAACTCAAAATGCACCGCATCACTAAGTGAGTTCATGGGCAATGGCCTGAGTTCACGGCTAGCACCGCCAGTTCACGGTCTTAGTAACCGTGAACACATAGCTCAAATCGTGATCTACTGCTTCTTCCACCATTTGACTTGATTTTTTCCCTTTCGTCCAACTTTCAACTCCGGGGTTGGTTCCACCTGCCATAGTCTAAAAAACACCAAAAACAAGGCAAAACCAGGCGTAAAACCAAACCTCTCGGAGTACAAATGCTTCAAAAGACTAAGGGAACCAGGGGTAAAAGGTGCACAAATGAACCCGAATCAATGAGTGAGAGACACCCACATAAATGGAGAGACTTGTTTTTCATCTATGCCTTTGATTCTCTATTGTGAGTTGTGACCTTATTAAAAAAAGGCAGATTTGGCATATTGGAAGTGCATGCAACCAGACATGGTAAATGACTTCAAGCAACATAACTGGTGCAAGCAATTTGCAGAGCATTTCAATCAGTGTCTGTCGGAATTGATGCAAAATGATGGCATTTTCAAGGGAGACATCCATCTTCTTTTTGTGAGTGGCTTAACTACATACATGTTCACTTGTTTCTGGTTTGCATCGGGAAAGAAAATTTTGGTGTGCTTTCTTGATATTGGTGTGTTTCATTAGGTATTGAGGTTTTATATCTCTACTTTCTGGTCACGTTGGTTATGTTTCTGATATGATTTCTCCACATTGTGGTTTGTTTCATTAATCATGTGTTATGCCTTTTACGAGGTTTGTGGTCTCATGTTGGCTATGAACTATATACAACTTGGGTTTGAATTCATCTGTGTTCCATTGCTTATGTCCCAGCACTCCATTCTTGACCGAGTGAACTACAGTCCTTCAAATGCCCTGGCTCCGCCAACTTGCAGGCACAAACTTTAAAAACTTTCCAAGCAACCATTCGAGGAGCTACTGAAGTAGGGCCACCTCACCATTGGAGAATAAGAGGTGGTAGGAGGAACACAACTCTAACACGTATGTTGAGGCCAGACATCTATGCCTCCTCGATATCGCTATCATCGAGAACGATAAAGAGAGAAAGGGTGATCTTGCATACCTCCCCTATGTCCCTGTTGACCTCGGTGCGATTCATACATTGGAACAGGTGAGCGATATTGGATATTAGGTACAAGTATAATCTCTAATCCGTGTTTTACCACGCTCGTCTGCTTCATACTTTCATGTTATAATGTGCAAGATGATCGCCCGTGGATTGGCTGGTTGATGTTCTACACTATTTACAATTTGTTTGCAGGCATATGATTTGAAGGAACGGTATGGGAGACACATGATGGCCATCCCGAAAGAAGAAGAAGAATACAATTCAAAAAACAACTAGGTGAGTGAGCATATAAAAATGCTAAACAAACGTATTGATGCTCAGTCCGTTGGTGGGCAAGACATTATTGTGAATGCAGAGAAAGAGGCCAGTGATAAACTTGACAAGTTTGTTGAGGCTGTGTGCAAGGTATGACATTCAATATCTGTGGACTGCAATATGCTCTATCAGTGTCATGTATGCTGATATGATTCCAAATGGCCAACTCTACACGTTTTTATTACTTGCCGAAGCAGCTATCAAAGTTGGGAAGAAGAAGAGCAGAATTTGGCTAAGTCATTTTCCGAGTTCATGGTACCTACTTTGGAGATATTGTTCTCTCAATTGGCTTGTTGGAAATTCAAGGTTAGGTGCTTGTTTTATAGATAAAGTTGTCATCTTTCCAATGGTATGCTTTTTGGATCCCGAAGAAGTCATTAAGGTTGTTTTCTAAGGCCTCAAATTGCTACCTCAAAACTGGAAAACTGCCAGAAAATGGTTGTCTGGAAACGTGTTTGTGAAGCCTACTTTGGACCTCAATTCGAGGAGCATGGAGTTGATTCGAGTCCAAAGGATTCCACAACATGAAAATAGGTATGTTTATCTACCGAGGGAAGGAATTGGATGAAAGATGTGAAGTTAGTACGAAAGCTGCTTTTGGATTGTTTGTTGGCAACTTGCTTGTGCTTCAAGAAAGGAAGTTTAAACCTGAATTTTGAGTCCTTTTTAGAGTAGACTTTTACCTTAATTGTTTCCTAGTTCTATTAGGTTTGTATTAGGGTTATTTGCCGTTAAATACCTTTCTAGTTTTCATTGTAAAGCAGAGAAGATTATAGTTGAAAAAAATTGCTCCTACGTGAGTGTTTTAAGTTCTTGAGTGTGTGTCGAGAATTTACCTATTGTCTTTAGCTTTGAGTGGATTCCAAAATCGTTTAGCAAGTTCTCTTATCAATCGAGTATTCACCTTGATTGTGGCGAGAATTCTGCCTTTCCATCATTATCTTTCGAGTGTTCTTGGCTGCATATTATGATTAAAAACAAAGCACCCCCTGGTGCTTTATCATGTGCTTGATCTTCCATGTGGTGAGCATGATTTGTTTTACTAGGTCTACTGATATGCAAAAATCAATCAACACGGAGGAAGAGCCTTAGTTGCAAGAAGGTGAAGAAGGAAACAATGTCGAAGAAACTGAGAAATAGTGTAGTGAAGAAAGAATGCAAAAAGAAGATAAAGCCGTTGATGTCGATAAGCTTGGGGAGGACACAAAGAAGGTGAGTTTTACATTCATGGTTGAAGACTACTGAAGGATTTTGTGGTAAGCTTCATCTTGTTGATGTATGGATTGTGACTTTTATGGTGCGTTTGTTCTGTTTTCCTAGAATAATGTGGATGAGCATGAGAAGGAGGATGGAAAGAGTTCAAGGTCAAAGAAACGGAATCATGGTGGAAACAAAAAAAAAAAAGCAAGGAAGAAGAGGCACTCCAACAAAAGACGAGATCCCTTTATCAGTGGTCCTGGACAAACTGGGCAGGAAAAAAGGCTGCACAAAGCTATCCTAAAATACGCAAGGGAGCCCGTGTGAGTAAGCTAATTGTTGATATCGTCACATTTAATGGACGTGTTTATCATATTATTGTTCTAGTGTATCATGTTTCTCTTCTGGTCTCTTATAGGAAGGAGGTCCTTTTCAGACTTACAAATTCCTCTTTCTCCCTGACAAGGTTAGACACAAGGACAATGACACATGAGAGTGAGGTGTCCAATGATTTTGTAGATGCTTACAGCGACTACCTCAATCGTTAACAAGCAAAGAACGAGGCATTCAAAAAAAGGGTGTTCTCCACATCAAAAGTTGTGAGTTACAAAGATTGCTGGCTACAGCTACACTATCCAACTCGTTCCATTCATTTCCTAGGTACACTAAATCTTATTAACTGTGCAGTTTGGAGTTCAAGGAAATATTGGATGCGATGAAAAAAGGACCTAGATTATGATTTGGTAGAGCCAAATTACTTTGAAGAGATTGACCTTGAAATTGCAACCTACAAATGGATTCCACACAATGTCGACTTCCGGAAGTGCCACTATCTGGGTGTTTCTTACCACTTCTCTGTTTATGGTGTCTATTGCCTTGACTAGTAGTGGATCTTTCATCATCTCCATAATAGCCACTACATGACATTTGTCGTCGATTTGAGGGACAATAAGTTCGAATACTTGGATAGTTTCAACCCCCAAATGGTCGTCAAGTATGCCATTGCATACTTTGGGGTCTGCAAGGATGATCAATTCAACTTCAACGAGTTTGGCTGGGAAAGTCCACAAGTGGTGAGGCAGAAAGGTGGGACAAGCTGCAGTGTGATTACGATGAACTTGACTGAGTGTTGGGAAGGAGAACCGAAGGATTTCAAGCTGGAATGGAGCAAAAAAGTTATAAATGATAGAAGGGATGCTATGACACTAAAGCTGCTGCTGGATCCAAAAAATGTATTACTTGAAGACTTGAAGGCCAAAAGTCTGGCTTATGAAGTTTGAGTAAGAAGTTAGTGGTAAATATGGAAAGTTGTAGTAGTTAAATCAGGTTTTTCATAACATTATGTCCTACTTGTGTTTGTGGACTACTTCCAGGGGTTTGTGTGGACATGTTTTTAGTTGTATTATTCATATGAGAGGTCAAAGCAAACTGGTGCCTCTTTTTGTACAATTCCTGCTCCGCTTCTAGCATTTGTGGGTAGTTTTATCGTGATTATGGCATTCTAACATATTTCCAATTTGCTGTTGCAGATAGTCTTATCTTCAGTAGCAGTGAAGTTGTGGATAGTGTTTTACACTTAGTGGTGTAGATTATCGTGTTTGTGGGTTGCTTCCAGGGGTTTGTTGTAAAGAGAGCAACAGAAAATAATCTTTGCGATGTTGCTAATACCCTGAGCTCCATTATTCATTGAACTCATACCACAATTAGAAACACACCCTGAGTGCCAGCATCCATTGTAATCATGCGACAATAAAACAAAACCGAAATCATAGTCTTCATATCACTCTAAACTCCAACTTGAGAGGCTCCGATTCCCTTGACATTGCTTCCTCTCCAAATCTCTACCTTCCTTGATGCTACCTCTTCGCGAAATCCACTCTAGTGCGTGCTCTCCTCTGTAACAACAAAATCACACCAAGTTTGTAAGGATGATGGTTGATCAAAGTTTTATAGTTAAATGCACAATAAGGACACTGCATTACCTCCACTTGCACACCAGAGTTGACCTTCTTTTCATCCTCGTCACTAGTCTCAGCATCTTGCGCGGTTGTTGAGCGGTTTCGTATTTGTTTTTGTTTTCGTATTTTGCATGGTCTTGGCTCGTCTCGATTATTTGGGTCAACACCATTATTGTCATTATTTGGAACACCACCACCTTCATCTCCAGCAGAAGCAGCATCTGCATTAGCAGCAACCTTAGCAGCATCAAGTTGTGCATTTGTAGGCCTGACTTAACCCTCCGACTGTTTACAAGTGTTTATCTTATAACCACGACGTCCACATCTCTTACACTATCGTGCCTCTTCTTTCACCCTCTTGTTTAGTTTACCCCTTTTAAAATTGACTGGGTGTGGGTCTTGGAGCCTTTAGGTAGCCTTGGGTCTGTTGATGTTAGGTAAGTTAGCACCAATGTTTATCTTATCTAAACTAATGAATAAGGTGCAAGGATTTCGCACGCATGCTGGAAACCGTCATTCGATTTCGCCCCCCTCAAGCACATTTGCAATCTTTTTTGTTGGAGAATTCCATACCTGAAATGAGGTGCAAGTTATAGATGAATAATTCTACATAGGAATATCCTCAATAGCTGGTGTGACAATCTATTAATTATGTAAGGAATCCATCACTCTGGAAGTGAAAAGGCGAGCTACATCAACATTATCGTCTTGTACTCTTTGTAGAGTCTTGGGATGATTTGACTATTGCAACTTTACCAACTAGTGTGGTATCTCTACTATGTTTTCTTCTTTCATCACAAAAAACATGTGAGCGTAGGGTAACCCCATATAAGTGTAATACTGACAGTTACAATCCATCTCCAGTGGGTCACTCGTGTAGGTGACCTGGTAAACCTTGTACTTTCCCAACATTGTTATATTGTAATAGTGCTGGTTTCCCGAGACCTCCCTATTTTCCCTTGTGCTATTTGAAAACTTTTCAATATGATCTCTCACATTGAAAACACCTTCTTCGTATATATTTGGTTGCACTCTTCTGAAGTTGGGGTAGGACATTGGAGGTAATTCACGATCCGTTCGTCTGATCTCGTCGAGAGGGAAGAAACCTGTGAAAGATTGGGGGATGCCCCCCGGATTATACTCCGACGACCAAGTTAGTTCATGTTTAATGGTGAAAGTTGAGAGAACAAGGTAGAAAGATGAAGTGCAGAGAGATAGTGGAAAGTGAGGAGAGAGAGGAAGTCCCCCCAATGGAGATTTTCATGCTTTTATATACTCGTAGTGGCGTTCGAGCGGAGCACGTTACCGATTGAGCGCTCCCTTATTTAGTCCGCTCGTGGAGTATTTAGTAACACCCCCAACAATTGCCTCCCAAGCTGGTGGTGAGTTATAACTCATCGCTAGCTTATTATTTATTTATTTTTTTAAATCTTTATCGATAATTTTGGATGGAGGCCTATGTACCCCCAGTTGCCCCCCAACTGGTGGCGCGTCTGGCTGACGCGATGCCAGTTACCTGAGTCATGCCCCCCCAGTTGGTGTATTTCATTAAGCCATTGAGAGCTCTTCTATTGGAATCTCCAAGGCGATGAGCAATTGCTTGTTGAAAATTTTCCAAGGTATTGAGCACTCTCCTATCGGAGTTCTTCACACACACTCAAGTGTCTACTCTTTCATTGGTGCGCTTGTGATAGCCACATAATTACGTTACGGGGATACCGCGCACGTTTAATGCCCTGTATTGGAGATAGAGGTAGTTGAACACTCTCATATTGTAGATTTACCAATGCTCTATCGAAGTCTTATTTGTGTGCTTTCAGTCGAGTCTTACATGAATGGAGGTAGTCGAGCGCTCCCATATTGTAGATTCGCCAATGCTCTTATTGAAGTCCTATTTGTGTGCTTCAGTCCAGACTTATTTGTAGATTCACCAATGCTCTTATTGAAGTCTTATTTGTGTGCTTCGTTGAGACTTATTTGTAGATTCACCGATGCTCTTATTGAAGTCTTATTTGTGTGCTTCGTCGAGACTTATTTGTAGCTTCTTCGATGCTCTCATTGAAGTCTTATTTGTGTGCTTCGTCGAGACTTATTTGTAGATTCACCGATGCTCTTATTGAAGTCTTATTTGTGTGCTTCGTTGAGACTTATTTGTAGATTCACCGATGCTCTTATTGAAGTCTTATTTGTGTGCTTCGTCGAGACTTATTTGTAGATTCACCGATGCTCTTATTGAAGTCTTATTTGTGTTCTTCGTTGAGACTTATTTGTAGCTTCTTTGATGCTCTTATTGAAGTCTTATTTGTGTGCTTCGTTGAGACTTATTTGTAGCTTCTTCATGGAGGTAGTCGAGCGCTCCCATATGTCGATTGATTGAGTTTCTCATCTTCCATGTTGTTTGGTACGTCTTGCCCCCCATTAGCGTAATTAACGCTCATGGAAGTAAAAAATTTAAAAATTTAATAATGTTAGAGAGATAGAGTACTTAGCTTTATATTGGCGCAGTGGCGGCAGGTGTAGTTGAAAGGCAGACGCTGCGCCATTGAAACACAAGGCTCGTATGTAGCCTCCTGGTAATGTTGCTTGTCTGGCGTAAGAGTGGTGCAGGTTCGAGGACTGGCGGCGACGACTTTATTTTTGAAGAGTTCCGTGCCTATTGAACACGGGGTGCGAGTTGGGCCACCTGTAGTGCGGGTCGCGAGTGTTGCGGCGGCGAGCCATAAGCGAATCGGGCCGCAAGCTTTGGAGGTAGAGTGACGCGGAGGAGTATGAAGCGGGCCCGCGAGTGGTGGGTTCATCTTCCGTGAGACTATTGTTGGGGCGGAAGTGGGGCAAAGCCCAGTGTGAGGCGCGGATCGCAATCCAGGACCTGGGCCGCGAGTTGAAGTTGGTAGGGATCAGATGATGCGAAACGGACTGGGGCGGAGTTTGAACGCGGGCCGCGAGTGATGATTGGCCAACTTGATCGCCAGTTGGTGAACGGAATAAAGCCCATGTAGCGTGATGTGGCCCGTGTCATTGGGTAGAATGAGTCTTCGGTTGACCTGGGCTAGCTTGAGGAGAATTAATGGGAGTGCGCTACAAGCTGGGCGGTCGAGCGTTGCTTGGGCCGCGAGCTGGGCGGTCGAGCGTTGCTTGGGCCGCGAGCTTGGAAGCTTACGAAGTTGTGCGCGAGGTGGGCCATGGAGCCTCTGTCTTTCTTGAGCTATTATAACATTCACCTTTGCTTTCAATTCTTCAATTAAATGCCAGCGGAAGAGCGCTTCTGCTTCGGGTTCACTGTTTGGCGATGTTTGATGAATTGAAAGCGACACTCGACTAGCGTCTCCGGTTTTTGCTTCCTTGACTTCCCGCTTAAGCTATTGTGGCGGTGGTCACTAACGGCAGAGAGGAACTTGTCGCCGGAGAGACAAGAGAGAAGCGCTGCCATTGATGAAAGCAGAGGCAGGAGGCGACAGCTGCTGTTGAATCGTTTGCGCCGATATTTCTTTCCACGCCTAAAACTTCAACCTTTGGGTATGTAAGCATGAGTGCGCGCGCCATTGGTTCCCGCGGAGGGGTTTTTTTTGCATCAAATTCTTCTTGAACTTTTGCGCATGCTCCTTCTACTGTTGGCCGTTTCGGCTCTCTGCTTTGCTCGCGATGTCTTCTTCTCGTCGGAGCTTTGGCGTAGCACACACCTCTCGCCGGCGAGGTTACTGGGATCTGGGAGAAGGATCTTCGAGATCTGAAAATTTCTTATTGTAGAAAGGATTGATATTGTTGCTTCTGTTGCCGGATATGGAGATTGGTTCCTCGATTTGGTTTTACTAGCTTTCTCCTCCTTGTGGTGTGCAGATTGAACCGATGACGACGACCGAAATATGGTTTTGGAGCAGATATGGTTTTGGACCATTTTGAGATGCCAATCCGGCAACAGACTGAAATTGGGAGCGCGCTGCTACTGTTGCTTGTCGTGGCCGCTTGTTGTTGGTTGGGGAAGAATTTATTTCCCCGGAACTGGGTTTTCCTTCTTGGCTTTCCTAGTTTTTCGGATTTGTGTTTTTTTACTTTCGGATTCAGAGCTTCTTCCTTTGGGAGATCGATCGAACGCAAGTGGTGGGTTGTACGGCATTGGGAACATATTCGCCGTGGGTAGATGGGCTCGCCGGAATCTGGGTTGCTGTATATATATATATATTGTTGAATCTGGGTTCTTCTGAGACACGAAAACATCCTTTGCTCCTCCATTTGAGCTCTACATCATAGATCACATGTACTCACAACCAACTTCTCCCCAAAACAGAACTCGGTGCATTTGGAGATCTCAGATCTGTATATTTTTTTTCTGTTTCTCGCATCTGCTGTTTGCTGCTGCTGCTCGTCATTCTGTTTCTTCCCTCATAGTCGATAGATCTCGAGCTTCCTGTTTCTTCCTCCAAAAGTCGCCCGATCGGGAACTTTTCTTCTTTCTCTTTTCTGTCGAGCTTCAATGATTCTCCGTTTTCACGGATTTCCTCATTTTTGATGAGACTGAATGGACGAATCACCAAATCATCCCCACGGTGGGCGCCAATTGTTTGTACCGTCTTGCTCTGGATCGAACAATGATATTTGTAGGTGTGGGGCTGATTCACGATCCGTTCGTCTGGTCTCATCGGGAGGGAAGAAACCTGTGAAAGATTCGGGGATGCCCCCCGGATTATACTCTAACGACCAAGTTAGTTTATGGGGAGAGGCTTGCACCGGCCCTATAATACAAGTAATATCCCCACCAAACTTCGAGAAACTGCTTAGCAAGGACCGATTTGCAGTGTCTCTTTGCCCTACCAAGGCCACATTGACATTGGTTCCTCTTGGTGGACGTGATGGTGGTCACTCGATACGGTTATATTTGGTTTGGGGCAATGAGACAAGAGAAGAAATGAAGAAGAGGTCTCGAGGGTGGAGACTTCAGCTGCATCAAGTGCACGAGCCTTCATCACCTGCCACACCACCTGCTCGTGACTTGAGACTCCACCTCAAAGATGAGAACCTCAACTTCAAAGAGGTTCTAGCATGGATCGAAACTTAGGAGCTACTGTCCGGCTCACGACGTGAAAGAAACGCTTGTTTGGAGGCAACCCAACTAGTCGGTTTGAATTTCTTTCCCTATTTAACCTTGGTTGAATCAGTTTTGTTCTTTGATTTTAGAGTCAATAACTCAAACTTTGTGAGATTTGTGTGGTGTTTGTGTTCCAACTACTCTCTCCTCCTAGAATGCACCGCCTGCCCGCCCACCATCATTCACCCTTGACCTGTTAACTTCGTTCTACCCTCCTTATCTTTCCTCCATTGAAGACAATGTCGTGCTTAAGTGTGGGGCGATGTTCGATTACATATGCGTGTGAATGTTTGGCTGTATGTGTGTGCTTGGAGCCTAGTCCACTGTCCAAATTTTAAAAGCACAATTTAGAGCACCCTTTTTCAAAACATGATACAGGAGTCCATGACAGGTAGAGAGTCCACAATACCACACAATTCAAGGGTCTTAAGATCACTAATTCATACAATCAATCCTTGGATTCGATATTTATTACTTAATCTAGTTTGCTAGATAATGAACTGAAGTTGAGTAATAGTAACTCTAGAGACCCGTGGATTCGATATTTATTACTTGTGCCACTATACTGCAGTCCCTTTTATTGGTTACACTTGGCCATTGCTAGGAGTTGTGTCGTAGCGTGTCAGCCACTGATTCGAACCCTTATAATAATTACTTGCACTACAATAGATAGACTTTTGGTATGCTTTTTGAGATATTTGGTATGCTTTAAGAGACTTGTGATAGACTTTTACGTAACTTGTGGTGTGGTTAGATTGTTCTACTTTCTCTCCCTTCCCAACGAATGATCCGTTCGAGACCTAGAGTATATGAAATACGTTTACAATTTCCATAAAATTTGATCCCTAATTAATAGGTTCAAAATATCCATAAGCCAATTCACATTTATTAAACTTTCAACCCTAGTTGGAATGGTCCAGTGCTTGCCCATTAACCTCGCATGCATTAAGCCCATGAATTCAGTAATTGGATCTGAGATCATATTGCAGTATTCTAAACCCAATAAGGTAGGTTATTCCACAAATACAAGTTAAGATAACTATCCACCCGCAATTCGATAGAAATTCCCTCTTCGTTATCTTCTTCCTCCAGCCGAAACGATCCCAGAACGGAATACACCTACCTGAACAAGAACGAAAAACTAGAGAGAGGCGGCTGGTGTACCATGCCTCTCGATTTGGGCCAAGTGCTCTGGTTAGAGATGGAAAATGATTGATTGAATTGAAGAAAGAAAGAAGAAGACTGTAACACCCTAACCCGGCCGGGTACTACTTTTACTAAAATACCCTTGATAAATCGTTAACCAAAATAAGAACTGAAAAGAGTTGGAAAAATAGCAAAAGCTTTTCATAAAAAAAACTTTAACGTTTGCTGAAGTAAACTGAAATCTCTTAAGAGAAATCCCTAACACTTGGGCAAACCTCAACCATAGCATCTTAATATGAATCTCCAGTCTATACTTGTAAACGTAAAGAAATAACTAAAACTCTACTTTGTTATTTGCTCGGATTTTATCTCTGGCACCTTCAGTGACGCTTGTACTATCCTCCTCTAGCTGGCCTACCTCGAACGGTTCCCTCGATTTCACTGCTCTCCATCTCGCTCATTCCCTTACTAAGGCCTTACGTTTTAAACTTTCTAATAAGTTTGCACTTCTTCTCAAACACTTAAACTCAAACTGAGGGAAGTTGTTTGTACTTCCATTCTTAAAAATCTTAACTCTTAAAACTGTATGGGAGTAACTGTTACTCTCCATTCTTAAAGCTCAAATCTCGACTTAAATAATTGACTGACACGGGGATCCCTCACTAGCTAGTCCGATTGCCAACTCATACGTATGAGAAGCCATCAAGGCTTTCCTTAAACTTAAACTTATCATCGAAGGCTCTTCTTCCACGATTCTGAAGAGCATAACTGCTGCTCATCTTAAAAATCTCAAGAGCATAACTGTTGCTCAACTTAAATATCTCAAGAGCATAATTGTTGCTCTGTCTCAAAGATCTCAAGAGCATAACTGTTGCTCTCTTAAGCTTTAATAATCACTCATAAACGTAAACTTCAAAGTAGAGATAAACTCATACACCTTCATTTCAAATCATAGCTCAACTAAAGCACATACTATCAAACATAATCATGCAATCTCACACATGAATCAAACACTGCACATACATCACGTTAATCAATACTTGAAAAATACTCAAGGCAAATATTTTTAAAATCATAAGGCGTAGAATTTACCCCCTTTACACTCACCTTACCTCCGTCGGAACTGGCTCTTATTTTGCTCTTAAGTTTCCATACTCGCTTCCAAAATATTATCGATATTACACTCGTACTTGCTTGAATAAAATGGAGCAGCTTGCTTAGTACGAATGGAATTAAACGGACCAGTTTGCGTCGGTCATTATTGTGAAGCAAGTTGCTCAAATGGAAGCTTGTTTTTGCTGGAATTAAATGGACTTGTTGTTGCTTGGCACAGATGGAATTAAATGGACCAGCTTGCTTAGGTCATTATTGTGAAGCAAGTTGCTCAAATGGAAGCTTGCTGTTACGGGGAAGAATTGAAGCAAGTTGCTCAAATGGAAGCTTGCTGTTCCTACGAAGGATTGGTCATGTCTGCACTCGATGAAATCTTCTAGAATTGAAGCAAGTTGCTCAAATGGAAGCTTGCTTCTACTGGGAAGGATTGGTCATGTCCGCACTCGATGAAATCTTCTATGACTAAGCATTAAGCAAGCAGCTCTCGGGTGTGGAAGTATTTGGGATACTCCATCCATCTAAGTCAGGGCAAAGATGGCAATAACAACGACAAGAGCTAGCTTAAGCAAGCAGCTCTCTTAGTCATGCTCTCAATACATCAGTCCTCCGTCGCCAGCTCATCCCCTCATCCATACAAGGCAGGGGCAGAGACGACAATAACAACGAGACGAGCTTGCTTAAGTAAGCAGCTCTCGTAGTGGAGAGAAAAAGCACCCCGATGATGATGCTCTCAATTCATCAGTCCTCCACCGCGAGCTCATGCCTGCTTCCCCTGATGCTTCCCCGTCCGCCTGGGCATGACCACTTACTCGCTAGAGCAAGCAAGCTGCTCTCGTAGTAGCATTGGTGCCGTCCTCGCCAACGGATCTGTTGGTGTTGTTGCTTTGATTTGGGTCTCTCCCTCCTTTTGGACGATGGCGCTGCTTTGCTTTGGTTTTTTCCCGAGAGCAAGTTGCTTTCGGTGGGAGAGTAAAAGACTGCGAGGGTATAGCTATTTGGGGGTGAGGCCGAGTGGGGTAGAGTAAGGGTCTAGGGTTTAATTAGTTAGAGGATATTTTGGGAATCTCACAATTTCGTCTGAGTTTAATCCAAAACTCAATTAACGTCCGTAATTTCCTCAATATATGTCCAAATTTGACACCGCTTAAACCAACAGTTAACATTTTTAGTCCTCATTGATATTTCGGTGGTACTTGACCCAAGAGTATAATAGTGCTTCTTTGTCTAAAGATTTCACTCTTGCTATATGAACTTCAATGGCCTGCCCTTACCTTGTCTTCAATAGCTTACTATAGTTCTTATATGTACTATTGACCATAATAGGTGTTCTCATCTAGCTCGGTAGCATCGAATAGGTTGAGTGACTCAATTCCCTTTTCAAAAATTTCCAACTTGAGTCCAGGGTGTGATGGGACAGAATTCTGGCTCCATTTATTGGTCCAACTGATTCAGTACTTGATGTTGAACCTAAATCGAAGTCGAGGTATCACATTTCTTCCCCACTTACAGAAATTTCGCCCTCGAATTTGTCCGCTGTGATTACCCTAAGCACCGCTTGTGGTAATCCTTTTCACTTCGTGGATTTGTGTTTCCCTTAACTTATATGACATAACTTAAAAATCCTTCTCTCCACTCCCTGCAACTTCAATGTTGTTGTGGCTTCTTAACACCTCACATCACCTAGGCTGCACCTTTGACATATGTCGGAACGATAACTATCCATTATTCGGTACATGAGAAGTTAATGCCCCTCTCCAACCACAAGGTCATTGATGGCGGCTTATCTTCCATCTAGTCAGATGGTAAAACTCTTTTAACGTAACTCTCATCTAGGGTTGACCTCATAGGTCACCTAGGTCCTTGTATCTCCTAACTTTGTATCCCTTACTTACTTCCTTGATGCCTCATCTTATCCTTTGACCATAAACGTAGTGGTCATCTCCTCGTTACTTCTTGCTTTGCTCTGAAACCTCATACTACTGCTTTTACTTCCTGTATGCATTAAAGACATCCTTTGCATCTTTCTCTAGCTTGCTAGCAACTATATGACTCCCTTCAAGAGTCATGAACTTCCCTTTAGCTTACTTGTTCACTCCTGGAACCTAACTTAGAACTTGCTTATTGCCACCTAAATTTGAAGTTCTCGTACTATCCATTATAATACTCTTAGACCCTAGCTGAAATTCCTTATACGTTTTCCCCGTACAATAGAGTTTTACCCAAGAGATTGACACCTTTCACCAACATAGGAAATCTTGGTGTCACTTTGGGGTATTCTAGCAGGATCCCTAAACTTATATCCCTCTTACTTCGTTACTCGTGATTCTTGTTGATATTACTCGCTAGTTCTAGATGATGTCCCATATTCTCGATATAGTCATCTAGGTTCTCATATTCTCTTCTTACTAATGTACCTTGAGTCCTTGACTTATAAGGTTCTCCCTTTGACTAGTCTTAACGACCACGATTCCAGCTTACAATTGGCCAAAATTTCTTGATGGAATTCCTATGAATTGATTGTTCTCTACTGGTAATCAACCTAATGCTTTCTTGTTGTTTGTTATATTCCTGCTTCGGTCCGTCCTAGCTATCTTCCTTGATGCATACATCGCTCTGTCGACGACCATCATTTTGTTTCTGTAACGTCCTATGGTGTTCTCCTTGCTTCTTTACTTTTACTACTCTTCCATTGTTGCTTTGTACTATATTTTGTCACCAAACTCCGTTGAGTATCTTCTCGTTATTGTTAGGGTCAAAGCTTCCAATAGAGGATTTCCCTGGGCCGGCTTTAACATAACTCATTCACGTCATTTGTCTCGATGGATGCCTGCATATGGCCTTAATCTCATAGTCTGGGTTCTTAGTGGCTTAACTGAACGTGTCTTACTTATCCTTAACTAGCCGCTCCCTTTGGATGACATCCTACTATGCCACTCCCACTCAGAGTGGGGCACCTTGGGTAAGGTAACTTAATGATTTCTTCCTTCTTGGTAATGCTTTTCCTCGTCGTACTCCACTATGCATTTTCTTGAACACGAGTCACCTACACATATTCTCAATCCTTCATCGGAACTTCCATGTGCTTCCTCGAATTCTCTGCCATTCGCTAGAACATTTATTGAACGTTCCACTTACTTGTCTATAATCGGTTGACTTAATGACTTACTCTATAGCTAGTTCCGAGACTTCAGCTCTTAGCACTCTAGTTCCAACTTAGTAGAGAGGTTCCTCCTACTGTCACCCCTCATGTACCAT